CGAAGCGGTGGCGCGCGTGGTTTCGAAATGACGTTCGAACCGGCGCCGCGCGCGCACGGGCCTTTCGCGCCTTTCGGCACACCGCCACCACCGCAGCAGCAAACAACAGCAGCAACAACAACATCAGCGCGGCGGACCTGTCTGTCTATACGTAGCCAATCAACGGGCGAGGCGAGCATTCGCTATGATAATGAAGCATGAATTTGTCATGAGCCTGCTGTTGTCTCGCCGCCACGCCCCGCCACGCCCTCCGCGATGCTGCAGGCAGTGTGACAAGGACCGGGGGTGACATGGCGACGAGAAGGGTAGCAGTAGGTCCGGGCCGCCATGGGTTAGTGCCGCGGTGCGCGTCGGCGGGGCGGGGCGGGGCGGGGCGGGGCGGGGCGGCGGGGCCCAAGTGGCGGGCGGGGAGGCGAGGCCACGCGTCCCGCGGTCCCACTGCCGCTACCGCGCCGCTACGCCGCTCCGCCGACCGTTCTTGGAGTGGAAGGGAAAATATGCCGCGGTTAATGAGCCTCGGCTTGGCCTTAGTTCCTTAGCGCAGGGTAGACCCTTCGCCCTCCCGGCAGGCGGGCAGGCAGCAGCGCCCCGTCGCGTTATCCTGCCGAAACTGAGGCCCCCTTCGGCGACGGCCGGCGTGCAGGTGCCGGTGAATTAGGGTCCAGCCCGCCCGCCGACGACGCAGTGGCCAGGGGAGGACGGGGAGGACCATCCAGAGGCCGCGGAACAGAAAATGTCTTGGCCGGAGAATGGCGAGGATGGCGTGGTTTAAAGCATAGCTGTAAGTGAGCCAGAAAAATTAAGTTATTTTCCAGGAGGAAGCTTACAAAGTTCTTCTTTGCCAGAACCGGCGAACTCACTGAAAGGTAGCAAGCCCTTAAGTTCAGAAAACTCCACTACTAGTTTTGATTCTGCGTCCCTGAAAAATGTGAAAAGTCCGTCGCGGCCCCCACCAGAATTTTCCCCGCGACCCTTTTGATCAGTCCAGCTTCAAGTTCAACGACTGAAGCGAAGCAAGCGAGGAATTGGAGCCGCTCGAGGCGTCTCGCAGTCTCGCAGTCTCGCCCCCGGTCCGGTCCGGTCCGGTCCGGCCGGCCAGAGCCGTCGTCGTGTCGCGCGTCGCGCCGCCATGTCACTAATGTGTTGCTATTTGCGAAGGGATGCATTAGTGAAGCGAACAGCAACACGGCCGCGTGGCCCCGGGCCGACCCACGCTGTGCACGGTGTGCACGGCGTGCACAGGGCACGGGGGGACGAGGGGACGGCGACAAGAGAATGATGGGACGACAGCTACCGCGCTAGACTCGCTAGACTCGACGGCACTATTGCCGCTTCGCGTTTTCACACTTCCGCGCTTTCAAACTAGGTCCAACTCCACGCTGGCGTAATGTATTCACGTTCGGAAGGACCTTCCTGGTCTACTCAACAACATCCTCCCTCGCCATATCCAGCTAAATCTGAAAACCTTTTTTGTTTTGGAACCGTTGAACCTTGTGGATTTTACCACCGTCTGTTTTCTTTTAACACATACTTTTGACTGACGGATTTTCTCTCTTATTTTCCGTCGTTGTGTTTTTATTTTTTCCTGACGTGATTGCCACTGCTGTAGCTTTTTTTAAAGAGTTTGCCGTCATAGCCTCCCGCAGATCGGTCGCTAAGTGGGCGTCCCCGCGGGGGCGGCGAGGGGCGGCGAGGGGCGGCGAGGGCGGTACTTCCTGGACGTGCTGCCGGCGCTGGCGGCGCGACGTGGTCAGTGCCGTCCGAGTCCCGTCTCGCCGCGGGGAGGTGCGATGACCATCAATACGTGATGTGGACTAGTGCAGAGCCGTGCACCGCTGTCACTGTCCAGCCTGTCGGCGTGGCGGGCGTGCGGGGCGTGCGGGGCGTGCGGGGCGTGCGGGGCGGGGCGGGCTGCTAGCTGCCCCAGAGCTGCACTGTGGCTGTCGCCGCCTGAGCGGAGCGTGCCAAGCGTGACCGGGCGTGCCGGGGTGGACGCACGGCCCACGGCCGTCCCCGCGGAGCCCCCAACCCCCAACGCGAGTCCCCCAGTCCCAGTTCCCCGGGCCGGCGTTGTGCGACGTCACTGAACAACATCACCGGCCGGCAGCCAGCGCCAGCGCGACCGGGGGACCGGGGCGGTCAGCGGCGGCCGCCTCGATGGCCGCACCGCGCCGCACCGCGCCGCCATGGCCGAGTCAGTGGACGTGGTGGACGTCACACGCCACTCAGGCCGACGAAAGGTGACTGCAGGGCGGGGCGCGGGGCGCGGGGATCGGCTGACGGCCAGCCTCCAGCCACTCCAGCCTCGCCGCACGGTCATCGCGCTGGGCGGACAGGCAGACTGATGGACGGACGGACGGACGGACGGGCGGACGGAGCCACGTTTGCCGGACCGCCGCTTGACAGTTTTATGTACTGAATCTCAGCTAAATTTTAATCCTTTCATCCCGTTAAATCCGTTTTTATGAAAACAGAGGCGCTCTCTCCAGGCGAGACGAGCCGCGACGGGGACGCTTTTCAAACGCGCTGACACGCTCGGATTTTTCATCCCTGGCCACCTCGTCCACCTCGTCCTCGTCACAAGTGTTCCGGAGTAATCACGACCCTCATCCATTTTGCAGGCCGTGCCGCGCCGCGCCGTGCCTGGCAGGCAGTAGGCAGCGCTGGTGGTGCCCGGCCGTGCCCGGCCCGGGGCAAGGAAGAGGGGCAGTCGTCGGCCCGCTACAGTGGCGTGGCGCTGCGGCCGCCTCTCCGGACACGGCGTGGAGTGCGTGGCGCCGGCCCAGAGTGTCCGCATGATCTGCATGTCACAGCGGGGCGCTTGGGCGGTCGGTCGCCCGCCACCCTTAAAATTAGCCACCGCCCCTCCGCGGTGTGGAGCCTGCCGCCAAGCCCCGCCAGGATGGGCCACTTGACGTCCCCGCCGAGGCCGAGAGGGTCGTGGTGCCGGCCCGGCTCCCCGCGGCGAGCGGCCCCGCAGCCCCGCCCGGGTGGTCCGGCGGTCCGACCCGGCGGTCCAGTCGGAATGGAAAATCTGGGAGGGTGTGGTCATAAATTTGCATCCGCCACGGGAAGTGCCCCTGCCTCTGCCGTGAGTGGGCGGCACAGTGGCGGCATGGCGGCATGGCGCGGCCGGCCTCGGTGGCGGCGGCGCGCATGAAGGGCGTCGGGGCGCGGACGCGGGGACGCACGCCGTGCCGCGCCGCGCTCATGCAGACTGCCCGGGTCACCCTCCCCACTTGCCCCCGAGGGTGGCGGGGGCGGCAAGTGGCGCTCGGGGTGGGCTGCCGCTGCTGCCTCCGCGCGGCCGAGGGCGTGGCGGTGTGGCGGGGATGACGCAGTGGACGGGGCGGATGGCGCTCTGATTCGCGTAATGCAAATTCGGCATATGCATGATGAATTGAGTGCCTGTTAACCCTTCCGAGCATTGCATCGCGATGGCGCGCGCGGAGAGGGGCGTCCGGCAGCGCTACTCTGTGCATCTGCTTGCCATGGCTGGAAAGACACAGTGTTCGGCGCCGTGTAACTAAAGGCGCGGGCGGCCTCTGGTTGGTTCGCCGGTCCGTCCGCGCGGTGCTTCTGGTGATGTCCGAAGCCAGCCGAAGCTAATGGCATCCGCGGCTGCCTGACTATGACCGGCACGATGGCGGATGGGATGGCGGGTCCGAGGCTCCTCCAGGCAGTCCAGACCATGTCCATGCTGGACGGTGTCACCGTCACTGCCCGGCGTTGTTGGCCCGGCTATATTTGGTCGGTCTAGACCGGGCACTGGGCAGCCCCGCTCCCGTCTGGGAATAGGCATGACGATGGCCGGGACGACTTGTCATCGTCCTGCTTCAGCCTTCAGCCTCACTTCAGCCAACCCCATTCTCGCCAGTGACCCCAATAAAGAAGAAACTCTGCGTTAAATTGGTCTGCCCCCGTAAAATTTAGTTCCCGACTGTTGTTTGAAAATCGGCAAGCGCCTCGCGGAGACTGCGTAAGTCCTGCCCCGCCACAAGGCAAGGCAAGGCGCGCGGCCCCCATTCCAAAGCCATTGCAAGTAGCCTAGTAGCCCCGGACTGCTCTTGGCCCTTGCCGTAACTCCTCTGGCAATTCCACAGCGGCTGAAGGCTGAAGCTGGCGAGCGCTGCGAGGTGCGGCCACGGCTACGGCCCCGTCGGCCACGACCGCCGGTGTTTACAATTTGCTTGCGTTGCGAGTTACGCGGGCGGCCCGGCCGCTCCCCTTCGCTTCAAGGGACTCCGTGGCCAGCTCCAGGCCCGGCGGCCGGCGCATGAAATAACGATGTAATTGACTGGCGCTTCAGTTCATCGGGCGGAGAGGGGGTTGTCTGTCGGTCAGAAGGGTTGTACTGGTGACCGCTAGTCTTGGAGCTACCGTACAGTTGTTCCAGGACCTGCAGACTTGCAGCCCAGCGGGCGAACATGGGTTGGGTTGCCTACGTATCCTGGCGGCGACGAGCCGACGAGTGTTTCACCTTCGCCGGCTTTCATGTCTTTCCATCGCATTGTGCCCCACTCACATCTTCAGCCGACTACAGAAGCAGGTCATTTCGAGGAACTGACGTCGAAACACTGAAACAGTATTAGACTTCTGTCTCCGGGCAAACTCGCGGACAACGCTGCATTGTAATGCCCAATCTTGCCCTTCGCCCTTCGCCCTTGGCCAGTGCCCCGCCCGCCGCCCCTGTGCTGCCACAGACCTTAGAACTCATCCAACATTCACCACCAGATGCACAACGGTCAGTGGGGTCTTTTGGGTCTGCGCCCGTATTGGGGTTGGCCCACAGACCAATGGCAAGGGGTGCCGGGGGGCTGCGCGCCCTGAAAACCAGCCACGCTCCGAGGGAAACTGTGCATCACCTGGACTCATGCCAGCTCATCTGCAAACCATTGAATGAATGTTTTATTGTGCATTAGATTGAAGGTGTGTCATGTCAAAATCAGCCTGGGAGCAAAACCTGATCGAAGAGGAATGTAAAAAATAAAATTGAGATGCATTTGTTAACTGGCACCTGGTCTACTCTTTAATTTTCAATTTTTCAGTAGAATTTGGCACAGCCTTAAATATATAAATATATTTTCTTGCATAAAGTGGGCACAGGAGGTAAACATCACAGATACCATACCTTTCACATCAACGGTTGTCAACAAAAATAAAAAAGTAAAAAAAATATATATATGTTCACATCAGTATGTATGCATATGACCAGTATTCCGCATGCTTCTTCATTCGCATTCACCAAGATACCACATGATAACATATTCCACTTAACATGAAGTCCAAAATTACAAAAACAACAGTCCAAAAAATGAGATAAGTTCTAAGGTAAAGTCAATATGTACTTTTTTTCTTTTGAAAAAAGTTGGAGTTAGTTATGAAGAAATTTTAACAAACATTTTCTAGTTTTATTAAACAAGGCAGTGTCAAAAATATTGATCTATAGCAAGTAACACCTCACAAGGTTACACCCAATGGGGCCCATCCAAATCAACCTACATAGTAGGTACATTAAGTTACAAATCGCACGAATGAAATCATGACAACATACAGCACACATACATGACACGGCATGGGTCCAGAATTTGCAGTGAACGTTTGCCCTCTCTGTGAGTATATGGACATGTGCCGAAATTTTGTGAATCTAGGGATCTACACATGTTAAGAACTGATCAGATTCATTTCTATAAATTGCCAGCCCAGAACTAAAATTACAGTTCAACTCACAACAAAGTCTTAGGCACAAGTCCATAGGGCCACACTATGTAATAAGACATACATAACTCTAGGCGTCTGTTTGTGCATTCATATCCAGGTATAGAAGTATTATCAAAAAACAAGAGGGACAACCAACATTACAATAAAAACAAACATATACACCTTGACAAGACAAAATAACAGTTACTTGAGGCAGGACTATCAGTCTTCCCTGACTGTACATTACTTTTAATTTGATTGGGCTTTTTTCCTGAACAGTGATAACGTTAACTTTTTAGTGAAAAAAAAGGAAGAAAAAAAAATCAAAGGGCGAGAGAGGAAACATAGAAACAGGGAAGAAGAAAGCACTCCAGACATCATACAAACAGAACAGTCTCATACTCCACTTTACAAACACGTAAACCCAGCTATAATAACAATTCCAGGAAGAAAGAACAATGTACAAAGAGAAGAGTTCAATACTAATTTGAGTTAAAACAGGCAAAAGTCAAGCCTATACCAAAATATGTACAGCCAGTATTTCTCCTAAAGTGTACAAAGCGAAAATGCTTAAATGAATGAAATGGTGAATGAATGAATGAATGAATGAATATGAATGAATAACATATAAAACATAGTTCCTCTGTTTAAGAGCACATAAAACAGGAAAACAAATTGGAAGCTTTAAATTGATGAAAAGTGGACACTATTAGCAAAAGAACATGAACACTAATCTCAGTTACTAAGTTAACTATACCAGATGTGTGCACTGTGCATTTCCACAATAGAGGCATTCATACCTGTACATTGTACAAGTGTCAGCTAGGGTGTGAACGAGTGCAATTGAGTCAACTATTGCAGTTATGTTCTTTTAAAAAGTGAATACGAAAAGATGACTTTAAAACAACACAACAAACCATATTTGTCTTAAGTAGGAAAACATATACAAGTATTTACAAAAATCAGGACTGTTATTCCTTCACAGTATAATTTATAATCTCTTATATACAAAATGAAACAAACTAATAGTGACAATCTATTTAAACAACAAGTCCTGAAACAACATGAATGTTGCCTACGTATATGTTGGTGACCACGAGTACGCAGACTAGTATATTCCAAGGTAATGAGAAGACAAGACACTCATGCCACCAACAGATCAAAAAGGAAAAAAACGAGAAGAGGAAAGGAGGTCATATTTTGAAGCATATTTTTCTTGCTTTTCAAACAGAAATTGAAACAGATAGAAAATGATACATGGGACATTCCTAAGTTATTGCTTTGCTTTTATCAGTTTCCTTGTCATTCATATCAATGAAGGACGTAAGAAACTCTTAAAAGAAAACAAACTCTTGGGAAAAGATCAGCCAACATGTCTCATGAAATCCATTGCCAACATCAACCTAGCAGACATCATTCTACTAATGTGGAGAACACACAAGAAAAGAAGAATTCAAACAACAACTTCCTTCAGTAACAATGAATGACAAAGATCATAAATAATAATTAATAATACAACAGCAGCATCAGAAGTACTTCTTTATGAACATTTGATAACAAATGTGGTCACTTGCCATCAGCTCTGCTTTACCAACAAGTAATACTAAAAATTTAATTAAACATTGATTTTTGTCAAAAAGAAAGGAAGCCGTTTTTAAAACAACCAAAAACGTTCTAAACACATAGAATTTCAAAAAAAAAAAACACATAAGGACCCAATATGCACTTAAGTGACAACTAAAACCAAAAAAGGAAGGAGTTATTGCACTAAATTGTGTGGCGGTGTCGAATTGCATCAACAAAAAGATCTAATTAAAACAGGCAGAACAACACAAACATTGAGAAATTAAGAATTTAGCTACATTTTAGAAAAAGGAAATACTACATTGAATTTGATTTGTTCACTAGTCAGTACACTTTAAACGATCAAATGATGTCCAAGTTGACTGTTAAGTGAAAGTAAAGAAAGACTTCTGAAACAATTCAAGTTATTTTTATTGGTATAATAAGCTCTACCTTGTGAGCCAGCTATCACATGACATTAAAAGTGATTGGTCCCAAATTTTAATAAAATCAAACAGATGTGGACACAACCATGCCAGATACAATATTTCTGGCAACCTACTAACATATTATACTTAATATGGTGGACTAGGACACGAGTTGCATGGAAGTAAGTATGCATCATTGACCAAAATATACCACGAGGCAAGGTTAAAAGTACAACTGGCAAAAGATGAGGTGAGGTGTATGGCATATTTACAGTTGAAAGTTCCGTCATTACTTCAAATAAGCTTTGTATAAAAATGTTGATCTACACGATTCTTTCTCTTGTTCAAGTAAAAATACTAAATCTCTTATATTAACTCTCTTCACTCTTGGGCGGGAAGGAAGCTACAAAAAAATTAAGAAATATGAAAATTACGCAAAGCCAGTAACAATAGTGGACAAAAGTCAAATGGTAATTCAGTTAGTGTTATTACCTGAGGTCGACCAGAAGCTGTGCCATTACTTGTGGTGGTTGCCCCATTACCCTATGGCATACATAAAAAGGAATAAATATTTAAACCATATTGCATTTGGAGGGGAAAAAAAGTTCTACTTACAGGGGTTGTTACAGATCCGTCATTCAAAGAGCCATCAAGACGTGGTTTCTTTCTGGGCCCAATGGCCTGCAGAGCTGTCATATTTGCCTCCCTTTGCCTTACTTCTTCCATCTCTGCTCTTTGCATCTTAAAAGAGGAATAAGATAATTAAATTTTTGTTTGCCTTGTAAGACACACAGATTATTCACAGAATCTTACCTCTTTGGCCTTGGCTTTAAGCTTTGCCTGTTCTGGATCTTCACTTTTTGACCTGCTTTTGGCTGCCCTCAGCAAGAGCTCTCGTTCTTTTTCTTCATTCCGTTTGCGTTCCATTCTGTCTAATTCCTCCAAAAACTTCAATTGGCCCTTTACATCTTGAGAAACCTCATATCTTGGGTCAAGCTGAACAGAGATTAAGATTGTGTGTAAGATTAAGAAGTACATGGTTGTGAAAGGAATTACAGAATGATTCAGATTTTGTACCTTTATAATGTCCATTCTATGCTCAGCAATAACAGCAAGTTTTTCCACAAAATTTTTTAATCTTTCTTGTGCTGCATGTGAGATAAGGGCAGCAACATCGGCTGTAGGTTCATCTAAGCCTTGCTCAATTGCTGTGAATGAAATTAAGTCCCAGGCATCACACCATATTTTCTCTTTTTGAATTAGACAATATTCCAACAAGTTATATAATTTTACATGAATCTTACCAATATTTCTTATTTTCTGTTGCAAGGTAGGCGAATGTAAGAATATGTCATCCTTACAAGAGCGAATTTGAGTTCCAACAAAATCCGTAGACCCTAGAATTCTTTGCGTTTCTTCTATAATATTTACTCCTCCCATAGCCGCAACATCATTTATGTCATCATCCCCACTAAAGAAAAGCACAGGAAAACATTCAATGAGATCAAAATTGATGTGTAGGAAACATGATTATGCGAGACTAAGCATTTGTACTCACGTGTAGGAAGAAGAGGCCGCTGCGGCTGCAGCTGCTGCTGCTGTAGCCGCTGCTGCAGTGGCTGGAGTAACTCCTACAGGTTTCTTATCTTTTTCTTTTGAGATTGTTCTAGAAATTTGGGAACCTGGTGCAAACACTGTAGTTGCAGTTGTAGCAAGACTTGATATGACTGTTGTTGGAGTGCCAGATGACATTGGTGCACTAACGACAGGCGTCACACCCATTGCTGATGCCCCTACTCCAGCCAAGGAAGTAACTGATGATACTATTGGAGCAGCAATTGAACTATTTACAGAATGTGCAGCTGCTGCAGTGGACATGGTTAACACTGTAGACACTGATCCACTGTTCACTAGATCTGGTGCAATACCAGCAGTTCCTATGGTAACCATACCCTTTGCTTGCATCCGTTGTTGAGCAGCAGTAAGTTTGGGAGGTGCTTTTGATACTATTGTTGCCTTATTTAAAGGAGTAGTTACTCTGATTGGGGTGGGTGTCCGTATGACAGGAGAAAGAGGTCGAGTTTGTGGCCTCATGGCTGCTACTTGCTTTATGGGCATTATTGCACGAGGTTGTAGTTGAAGAGTCCCTGGAGTACCAGGTCTACATAAAACTTGAGCAGACATCGTCACTGGAACGGTGGCGATAGAAGATGCAGGGATTGGTGATGCCACAGGTGAAGGTTGTGATGTCACCACTGATGTCGCTACTGGCTGAGTGACGATGCCAGACGCAGACGTTGTGATGGGCACCTGTGATGTCATCACCGAATGTGAAAACATTTTGTTCCCAGCTAATGCAGGTGACACAAATTGGAGGGGCTGTTGGCATACCATGCAACATTTAAGAATTAGCAAAACAAGCATAGAGAACAAAATTAGAAGCATTTGCAGTTAAATTGTAAAGCATATTGAGAGAATAAGCCTTATTTCTTCACTTCCTCAAACTTATGATTAAAAAGAAAGGAATATTTATAACTATTAATTATTAACCAAAAAATGATTAAAAACAAGTTACAGAACAGCAATTTAAGGGGGGAAAATGACAGGCACTGAGTCACTCTTCTGTAAGGCATGGCTCTTAAACAAAATAATTCAAAATGCATTTCCCCATTGGTTCCCCGACAAGCCATTGTCCATTCAGGGGCAAAGCAAAGCTGACAAACATCCTACTAAAGGTAAGAGATTGGAGAATGACCCTGTCCTTTCCTATTCTGAATATTCCCACTTTCAACATGAGGAAAAAACAAGTTGTAAAAATTTAGATACGTATATTGAGATAAAAATATTAAGGAGAATGAATTTAAGGATGGTATGCCTCCAATGCAGCCATTAAAAAGAACATAACATTAGCCAGGCAGATGCAACACCAAAATATTAAAAAGCCAAAGTATGTCACACCTTCACTCATCTTTTAGAGCAAAAAATGCACATGCAAAAGCAGAAAGGTAGACCAAATAATAAAAACTGTTAATAAAAGAAATTAAAAATAGAGCATGAAAGAAAATTGGAGATAGTAATTGTAAGAATGGAAACATGTCACTTGGAATACTGGCCAAAAAAAAAATAAAAAAACAATGAACAACAGCCTTCCTCCATTAAAGTCAAGTAAAAGGATTAACATCAAACCACAAAAGACTCTTACCGTAACTAGACGATGTTGTACAGTTACATGGCGTGGTCCTTGCATACCTCCAACAATAGAAGCAGCATTGGTAGCATTTACTGGAGTGACTACTCTCACAGTTTGAGTTGTTAAACCGGCTGGTCTTATCTGAGTTGCCTGAAACCACAGTTAGTATTAATAAATTGATTTCACTACAGAAGGGAGGTGTGGTTATTTATTATTATCATTAATATTATTATTCTTGTTACCTGTAGCGGAGGACAAGATACAACAGGAGTGGTAACAGCTGAAGTAACAGTGCTGTACATCACATTAGCTGGTGGTGGACGAATGCCTTCAATGACAAGTTCCTTTGTAACCATGGCCTGCCTCAATAAAGGAAGGCTTTTCTGCAGAAAAAGATTTTAAACAAGAGATGAAGACACTAGGAAATACTTCATAACAGACTGACAGAACTACTTAATTATCAAAGTAACTACATTTGAATAATTTTCAAAGAGCACATGGAAAATTGAAAACTTAATTTTGTTCGATACCTTGAGAAACCCTATTAAACAAGGCTGTGGCGATGCATTTAACAGCCTTTCTAGTCTTTCACAAAATTCCTCAGGCTCAACCTTGCAGTCAACTAATTCTTGAATGAGAGAGCGTACGTTGCGTTCTACAGACTTGGGCTCACGACTCGACAGTTCTAACAAATTAGCCAAGAACTTGCGGCATTTTTCCTTCGTAGTGTCAACTTGAGCTGGACGAGGCTGTTAAAGGGCATTTCAGGATGGTTAGCAATATTATTTATTGTTTACCCTTAGAATCTTTGGTTTAAGTTCTAAAAAATGAGTGTGTGTAATTTATTACCTGGGCTGGAGGTGCTGCTTGAGTTACAGCAACTGGAACAGCAGAGGTGACTACTGTAGCTGCTGTCGTGGGTGTGGACAATGCCGGAACAGGGACTTGGGTTGTGATACTATTTACGGTTGCTGTTGTGCCAGATGTAGAGGCTGTTAGCGCAACTGAACTTAACTGAAAAACACAGATTAATATATGGATTCAATACAAGAGAAGTAACACAAACGTCAAAACTTATTTATGAGTTTCAAATGGCAATTTTTAAATGAGGGGTAAAATATGGCATGACGTAATACTTACTCCGGGGAAAGATTGAAGCCTTAAGGTTTGCGTAGCATTGCCATGACTTCCTGCGCCTAAGGCGGTTGCAGTTGCGGTTCCTGTCCCTGGTCCCACTCGGACCAATTGAAACCCATTTTCAGTCTTGATTAACAGATTCTGAGTTCCGGGAAGAGATTGTAATGCCTGAAGAGTGATCTGCAGCAAAACGAAAAGATTGTAGAAGGACAATACTTCATGAGTAAAGTAACCATATCTCTAATTAAATACCATAAAAATTAATGTTGAGCTGGACTTACCCCTTGAACACCACCTGCTGCTCGTATTGGGGTTCCACTAACGACTCTCAGTGGGCCCTTAGGAGGCACCATTCCAGGAGTGGTTTGCCGTAAGGCATTTACATTAAGTATTTGCACATTGCCCGAAAGAAGATTGCCTTGTGATCCAATCGCAGTGACTGACTGGGTGAGTGGCTTTGATAGAGTCATAACTGAAGTTCCACTTGTTGTCACTGTTGATCCAGTCACCACACTATTGATGCTAGTAGCCGTCATTGGTGCTGAGCTGTTTACTGACATAGGAACAGGCATAACCGCCGAAGCGATTGATGCCGTAGTTGCCAATTGATTTCCACTTGCTTTTAAAACAACAGTTGAGGCGCCAGCTTTGGTAGGATCCAAAGCATTAATTACGCCTATAGTTTGAGGAATTTGCTTGATCACATTGGCACTAGTGGAGAGTTGATTCTGCGAAACAACAGTTGTGGTTGGGTTCACCACAGTCTGTGACGGAAGAGACGTCAAGGCAACACTCCCATTCTGCAAAGCACCAACATGTTGAGTTGTAAGAGGCAGTCTTGCATTGTTTATGTTCATTCCACCCGCAGTCTGGCTTGATGTAGGGACCAAAATACGCACTGGTTCCTGCCCTTTGCTCAAATTTGCTAGAGTAGTTTGGGTTAGGCCTATGCTTGAAGTAGTAACCTGATTAACAAAGGTAGGCCTACTTGTCACTTCCCCAGGAACAGACGCTATAACTTTAATTTGACCTAAATTAGAGGTCTGTATCGTGTTTGTTTGGCTTGCATCATTCAAAATGATATTGTTCACTGCTCCCGCTACCGGACTCGGACTGTGTTTCTCAGACGAAACAGGGGCTCCGTTGGAAACTGCACTGTTCACATGATTTTTAATGCCTCCTGTGAATGTCGCCGAGGCGCTGGACGCAGAAACAGCTGAGGTGACCGAGTTATTCTCCAACGACCCCACAATTGCACTGACAGCCGAGTCGTCGACGTCTGTACTCAGAGCTTCCTCCAAGAAGTTCGCCGACGCCATTTTCTGCCCGACTCCAACCGTAAACTAAACTGCGCATGCGCACTAGAGATTTACCTTTCTACCCACAGTGCATTGCCCCCCTCCCTCCCGAAGCACCGCGTTGCAACAGAGCAGAGGCCAGGCCGCGAGGCCGTCTGCTTCTGCTCTCGCAAGAAGTGTGCCAAATGCAAGACAACCCTCCTCATCCCTGCCGAATGCAAATAAAATGCTCATGCAAGCGACCCATGCAGAAGTACCTGGCAACAATCGAAGACGGTTCCTCTGAAAGGTTTAACTCCTCTGACTGAGGGCTAAGAATTGTCATCGTAGTTATGTAACGTGTACTGGTACTACCGACTTCAAAGTAATAACTTTTGTTTACAAATGACTGTTTCAAAAACTTCACATTACGGACCGCTGTCTTCAAATTGCAAAATTAAAAAATATTTCTTTTTCGGACAGTTTTTTTTCTGCATCAAGCTGCCTATAGTGCTCTTCACTTGGTGACTGGATGTATATTAGTCGCCAGCATGACTGTACAGCGCGTGGCGCGGGTGAGGTCTCAGGAACGAATAGGGGCAATGAGAATGATACGGGAAAAAGGGATAGGAAAAGCGAGAGCCCTTTTCAGGACATTTGTCCAAGATTGTCCTGGACCTACTAGTTAAAGTTAACAGTCGGCCATTGCTGTCTCACAGGCGTTGGCGATCTATGCTCAAATCCGACATGAAGTAAGAGTCGCTGTGGCAAAAAAAAATGCTTATTAAATTAGGTAACATATTTTATTAAAATAGATATAAACTGACAACAAAACTAATCAAAAGATAAACCAGTGTTCAAATGTTTGAGCACAGTCAACATTATGCCTCAAGCAGCCGTATCATAAATATCCATACAAAATTTAATAAATTATACATTATTATTTGATAAATTAAGTCCTTAAGCTTCCTATTAACAGTTGTGCGGTATTCAGCCAGATTCCAAGGAATTATCACTGTCCTGGTTCCTGAAGCAAACTCCGCTCCTTTCTTCTGTTACAGCGTGGGCACGAGCTCATGACTTTCTTCATCCAACATTCACGATGGAAAACAGCAGAGCACTTGTCACAAACAAACACAGATATTGCATCATCAAAGGGAAAAAGAATGTCTTCATCAAATTGTTGTTTAGGACGATCCCCATCTTCTTTCTTGCGTGGTGGGCAAAGTTCACAATAGTATCCCTTTTTCTGACACACCTGGAATAAGGACATACACAGTTAAAGATGTAATTCCAGCCAATTTTGTTAATTATTCTTTAAATGCACAGTACTAACAGAACAATTTCTTATGTGCCAAGTGGACAGCTGAGCAGCCTCTTGTAAAACAGGTAAAATTGTACTTTTGTGAAGATCAATAAGATCTTGTAAACTGAATAGTCCTGTGGGATTTTCTATCAAGTGGGCACTTAACGACCAAATCATTTTTTTCTTGTTTTTTTCTTTCATACTTGAACGGCATGTGGACAAGTATTGCTTGATGAGTAAGAACTGTGATCTTAGTTTCTGAAAGAAAGGTCCAATTTGTCATTCAGGTGTACTCACAATAAAATTTCTTCTCTTAATTAAAAATGTAGACCTGGAATATTTTCTTACTTTTAAGGAAGCGAGATCAACAACAAATTGATACAGTTGAGAGTTGAGTTGGTCTAGGTTTAAAACAGGTCTTTTGACCATTAGACGCAAAAAACTGTAACAGTTACAGCAAACTCTTCTCTCAGTAAAATCCCAGTTATGGACAACTCTTGCTGGTATTACAGCCAACGCATCCCAATGACATTTGGTGCAATAGTAACGTCCATCATAGTCACACAACCGATGTTCGCGCCAGCCTCTTTCTGAAAAATAAGATCTTTATTAGTTGAGCAAAGTACGTGTATATCGAATGTCACATGGGATACACACAAATCAAACAGACATAACAAATCTGTTATTTTTTTATTTTCTTAAATCTTGGGGGGGGGGCGTTATTTCATAGATACAAAATACTAGCACTGATGAAGGTATGCAAAAACTAGAGCAGAGAAGGAAAGAGATCAAAATGAAATCAAAGTAGCAAACACTCTAAACCAGCAATGTAAGTTTTCTACAATAAAAACATGCCAATGATGAAAACTGCTACAAGTACCTGATGAGAATGGCCAACCAAAATAATTGTAAATTCCTTGAGGGAAAGCTGCTTGTAAAGTACAACATTTTGAAACTGTGACATTACAGCACAATTGAAAAAATTCAGTTATCTCTAAATTCATTTAGAAGCAAAACTCACTGTTAGAAATGCGGGTCTTGCATTCGTGACAACAGTAACCTTGAGCAGCCAGTCCCACTTCCGGGCAAATGTCATTTAAATAAAATGGAGTTTCAGATACCCTTACAAGGGCACATTGTCTTCGAATCTTGCCGAGACATTTCATATGACATTTGTATTGACAATCTATCACACACAAAACCTTTCATTAAGATTTAACTTAAAATTGTAGCTTCACACTCGAAGGGAGATTAAGTACATACCATTACATTCATACCAAAGGTGCAACACACCCCAGATATTTGCGCAACATCTGTCACACTTATAGATACTGCGAGCTGGAGCCTGCAGAGTGAAGTGATGTCCTAGGATGATCCTTTTGTCTCTCGCTCTTCGTCCAGTACCTTCATTGCAATTCTCCAAAGACATTGTTGGAGAATGGTCAGGGGTTCCAATAGGTTGCAGTTGTCTATGCTCTGCAACAGCTTCATGTGCTTCTTGCAGCCTTAGTCGCAGTTCAATCAAGTAACGTACAAGCCATTTTCGTTCCTCTGAATATTCTCTGGTGTCTAGCACCTTCTTTTCACATTTTTTCACAGCTTCTGAAAGTTCTTCAACAGTTGTCAAATTCAGTGCAGCCTAAAAGAGACATAATTAAATAATGCTATACAGCATTCCAAAGAAAATGAGAAAATCAGAAAGGAGACAAATATTACCTGAATAAATGAGTCTTCAGCAAAATCTAAGAACGGGTACGGTATAGTTCTTTCAGATGAGTCATCAGATAGAGCACCTGAACCGGAGATGGAGGACGCTGGACTTGGAACTGCCGGGACAGCCTGTCCATTCTCCCCATCATCCTGATCTGATCTGTTTTCCGATGCTTCCATATTTTTGTCTGACAGACACCTGACAAGACAGTGTTGTCATCAAACACAACCTTGATCAACCTTGTTTATCTGCACTTTGATAACGTTTGACAACCGTGTGGGTCACTCCCACTTCAAAGACTTAATGTCGAATCAAAATTATGTTACTCAATGAAGTTAGAAAACTGACGATACCAGAAAGGAAAAGAGAAAAGGCTGGGTCTTAACTTAACAAGTGGGTCTTCTGCTCGAACTCGAGCCTTCACACAAGTGCACAGTGCTGCTGCCAGCGGCAGCTCGGGCAAACACGAAACCACTGGTTTGAGGTAAACAAAGAAGCCCATAGCCAAAATGAAGAGAAGAAAACACAACAAAGTCAGGGCAGGTACAACAACTGTACCGACCACTTTCATCATTTAAACTTTGTGATAATCAGGTAATATCACTAATTTAAGAGCAAAATTTTTTCATATAAAAATAAAGTATTCTTTTGTGGTGCGTGTAAAGATTTTTAGAGGTGGTATTCGCTGCACCTTATTTCGCCAAAGTCGCTCGAGTGTTGCCAGCGCCTTGGCCTCCGATTTGAAATCGGAGAGATCCTCAGTTCGGGCACGCAACGGTCGCGCGTGGGCAGGTTTGGCTGACTTCATTCTACTTGTTTCGAAGAAATCGCTGGAGTTCCACACCAATCATCGTAAGTGAAGTTGGCTAACTTAAGCCGTTGAAATGTGGCTGTCGTCAGTTACATGGCAAGTCAATTATGGGGCGGAAGCGTCTGCCAGAAAGTTGTTGTCAAAATGCGTGCCGATTCGTCACCGCCTATGGACGCCGATCAACATAGAGTTGTAGTTTTCCTTGTCATTAAGACGGACCATGAAAACAAAACCTCAGTTTCCTTCAGATTCAATCATGAATCAGCCCTGGTGTGGGGGTTTAGGGAGGAGTCCGATTTACCGATTCTTGTCGTGACTTTCTACCTGCCCTGTTATTGTTGTGACTGGCTGAAACATTACTCCCAGTCCTTCTCAAACCTCAGACGTCCTCTGATGTTTTCGGAAATAATTCATACAATTGGAACTTGTGACTCAAGTTTACTTCTTTAAAGCCAGTGTTTCTGAGCATTTGTGCTGCTCATCTTAATTTCTTGTGCACCGCTGAATAGTCAATGGTGTTCTATTCAGTTGGCTTTTTCCTATTTTGTACTGATACCTGCACTGACAGAGATAAATACTAGCTGTCTCCGGTACTGAGTCATGTTGTTGGTTTGTCTTGTCTTAATCATTAATTTTTAATATTTTTGTTCAAATTTTCAGGTGAGCACATGATCCTATAAACCAAAGAGATGGCACTCAAGGGAAAAGACCCTGGAAAGGGCTTCTCCCCAGCCCGAAAGGCTCTGTCAAGATCTGGCATTGGCTTATGCCGCTCCCCCAGGCGTGGGCTGTCCACATCTTTCCAAGGGAAATCGACTCCGTCAGGAAGAGCTGGTGCCAGGCCAGCTGGAAGACTGGGTTCACGACCTGCATCAGCTATGAAGGGCTCATCCGCCAACATGAAAGTTATTGTGCGGGTTCGTCCCATGAGCAAGAGGGAAACAGAAAACAATTCTAGGTACTGTTGTGTCGTGCGCTCATGATTGTTCATTTTCTCTTATTTGAGATTGGTCTTGATTGTGCCTTGATTCATCTTTTTGCTGCAGGGTCATAGTTGAAGCGGTAGATGAGAAAATGGTTGTGTTTGATCCGAAGAAAGAAGAAGAAGACTTCTTTTTTCATGGTTCTAAACAGAAAGGCAGGGACATGCTTAAAAAGCAGAACAAAAACACCCAATATTTGTTCGACAGAGTGTTTGGGCCTGAGGCTTCAAATGAGGATGTGTTTGAAGGGAGCACCAAGAACATAGTAACATCAGTTTTGGATGGTTATAACTGCTCAGGTAAATTTGGAATTATTTACCCAGTCCATTGACTTGTGTTCTTTCAAGGTATCTTCACATCAATACTTGTTGTTCCAGTATTCGTGTATGGTGCCACTGGAGCTGGAAAGACATTCACTATGTTGGGTTCACAAGATAATCCTGGTATTACATTTCGAACCATGGTTAATTTATTTACGCAAATGGATGCTCAAAAAGATGAAAAAACTTTTGAAATTGGAGTTTCTTACTTGGAGGCAAGTAGCTTATCTCTTGAGGGATCATATTTGATTCTTGTGTAAGTCACATAAACTCATTTGATCTATCCTGATTTTAGGTTTATAATGAAACTGTGAAGGATCTGTTGAACCCATCCTCTGGTGCCCTTTTCTTGAGGGAAGATGGTGCAGGTGTTGCGGTGGCTGGCTTGAAGATGGAGCGCATTGTTGATCCCGATCACATGTTTAAGCTGTTAGAGAATGGCAATAGGAATAGATCGCAACATCCGACAGATTCCAATGCAGAATCCTCTAGATCTCATGCTGTCTTCCAGGTAACCTTCTGTTTATTTTTACTTCACTTCTCTTATTTTGATTATCTTTACTACTTTTCCATGTGAATGTTTTCTCAGGTTTTCATTAAGATGAAAACTAAAGCAAATGGTCAGACAAAAGTGGTCAAGCTGTCAATGATAGATCTTGCTGGGTCAGAACGAGGTGCTGCAACGGGGTGCACTGGTGCAAGATTCAAAGAAGGTTCCAACATCAACAAGTCTCTTCTAGCTCTCGGTAGGTGCAGTTAAGTTTTCTGAAGCCTAAGAACATGATCTTTATTGTTGTGTTGATGCTTATGCGTTCTGTTTTGCAGGAAATTGTATCAATGCCTTAGCTGATGGACTCAGACACATCCCATACAGAGACTCTAAGTTGACTCGCCTTCTAAAAGATTCACTTGGTGGAAATTGCCAGACTGTGATGATTGCTAATTTGTCCCCAGCTCATCAAACTTACGAAGATACTCAAAACACTCTAAAATATGCAACAAGAGCCAAGACAATTAAATTTCAGGTAAGTGGTTTAAAGTTGTGAACATAATTATGAATTTTATTTTTCTTCTCATTATTATCAAGTTTTCTTTTTCCCTCAAGGTTAAACGGAATATTGTGTCAGTTGAGCTTCATGTATCACACTACATAAAAATGGTGGAGGATTTGCAAGGAGAAAATGACCGTTTGAAAAGTGAAAATGCCCAGCTGAAAAAGGATTTGGAAGATCTGAAAGCCCAGGAGGGTGGTGTTTCCCCAGCCACACAGGTCAAATCTCCAAAACCTCTAGAACCTTTCCATCCTCCTCAATCACACCTGCCCCCGGCTGTTGCTGCAGCTGTTGCTGCAATTAATGGGAAAATTAAACCAGAAGTTAGCACAACAACTGTTGGTGTCAACACATCCCCTATGAAAACCCATGTAAGCCATGATTTAATTTCAATTATTTTCAGTTGTCTTGTCTTCTGAATTAAAATTAAATTTTCCAGCAATTTACTAAAATTTTACTTGAATTTTGTTTCCTCTTGTTTTTTAAGGCACTTGATGACAGTCTTCTGAAACTGAAAGAAAGAGCTCAGAATCTTTACAGTCAGAAAGCACGCATCCATCAACGGTATTTGAACATGAATTCATCTGACAAGGTACTGCAATTGAGAATGAAGTTAAAACAGCGAACCATTGACAGAGTTAAAGCCATGAGTTCAACTCCATCTAGAACGGATCAGGTATTTGCTGCATTTTGTAACTCACTTTCCTCTTATTTTTTTGGTGGCTTTCTGTTTTAAAGCACTACTTAATGTGGACGTACTTTCTCTTCTTTAGGTTCAATTTAAGGTGGATAAGTCTTTGGATCAGTTTAGAGGCCGTCTAGCGTCTGTCAATGAATGCCAAGAGACTGTATCTGCTGAAGAAAGTGAAATAAACCAAGAATTGCAAAATATCTGTATGGAGTTCAAGAGATTGGGCATGTGGGATGAAATTGCCCCTTATCTCAATGTATTTGAACTAGAAGTAAGTGCTGGCTAAATTTAACACATTTTCTTCTCCATTATTAGGGTAAATATTGATCTCAAGTTCTAATCTCTTGAAATATTATTCCAGTTTTTGAATCAAGA